ACGACCCGAAACAGCGGTGAGAGTGCTCTGTGTGATCTGTACAGGCAAATTCTGAGTCAGCAGCTGCCTTTCGGTCATCCCGGGGATTTTCCCGAAGTCCACAGCAGTAGCTCTCGTTGTGCTTTATCTGATGGGCATATGGAAAGGTTTAAACAGAGTACGTTTTCAGAAGAACTTGTGTGTGGCCACCAACACAGCTGAAACCATAAAAACACCACTGTATCAGAGTGGCGGTAAAAATCCCATGTGTTCTCTAGAAATTAGTGCTGAATTGGCATTGCTTCTTTTTCTGATTAACACCTGAATGACTGCTTTTTGTGACTGCTGTTTTTGAAATGCACTAAATTATATATTGAATGTGTTTATTTGTTATTAAAACATATAGATAATTATACAGCTGAAGGTTTCCCACAGCTTTTCAGCATGCAAATCAGATTCCTTTCATAGTTTGATTCAAATTTAGCTTTGGTTTGGCTCTATTGTTTAATTTTACATTGCATGTTTTAAACACTTTGGGACCATGTTAGCATTTCATGGATTGGATGGTTTTGTAGATAAATTAATCCAAAATCTTTTGTCATGTTATGTATAATTTAGCATCACAGTTTTGATATTGTACTATTATACATTTTGAGAAGATCTTTATGAGTAAAATCTATTTTTATGTGATTTAAATAACAGACAGATCAAGGTGCTTCATTATACTGATGTAAAAATCCAATATTGCCCTAAAACAGTCTGATTTGCATCATTCCCCATAACTGGCCATGCCTGTGATAGCTACGACAATATAAACAGTATATGGTGAATTTCCACACAAGTTTATTGGACTGCCATGTTTTTCTACACACTCTGAACAAACCACAGCATCTGAACTCGGGTCACCAGGTTTCCTCTTGTGTGCATTAGAATATAATTCAGGTAAAGGGGATTGGAGGGTTGTATGTGGTCAGTTTCTGAGTGAGGAGTGTGTGATGGGGGTCATCCTGTGGCCATGTGAACAGGAAAGTGTGGGTTCAGCGTGACGGGCTGAACCTCTGAGTTGTTTATCAGATAGCTAATGAAGCAGAGCAATCCAGAGAGACAGCGAGGCAGGGAGGGGGACGAAAGAAAAAGGTAGACTAAAACAGGGTGAGCTGACGTAAAGGAGAAAAGATGGAGTAGTTACTTATGGCAATACCCACAGTCAGTACAGGTCTCTTCCTGCAGCTGTTATCGCTGAGCAGGCTGAGAGGAATAAACGACAGTCTCTCATGATTTCACTGAGCTTTATTCCCACTACAATGAGAGGAAAAATACACATCATGTTATTTATCACATTCCCTGGTTAAAAATCAGCACAGGCCATATCACTCAGCTCCTGCCGTAAACATTTTCTCTGGCTCCGAGAGAAGCTGAGCCGCGTTCCCAGCTCCCACCACCAAAACCTTCCAGTTTACATTCATCAGCGTGGTCCCAGGCAAAAAAGGCAACGGGCCGACTTCATTACCAGTTCAAATAATCAGCCAGTCAGGCGATCAAAACAGTATTAGAGTGTCAGTGTCAGTGTTTGATATTTTAATGCTTCCACTGATAATTAATTCAGCTCACGCTGAGGAAAGAGAGATGGGATTATTTTCAAATGGCAGAATGTGAATTCTGAAAAAATTCTCAGGCCAGATCTCAGGTCTGTTTTGTATAAACTTTCTTAAAATATTATTGTGCAATATGATGGCTGCAAATAATAAGTCATTTTGTAATAATTACTTTTACCACCTACTACTCTCTAATAAAAAACGTTGGAAATTGTACTTAAAAAAAAAAAAAAAGTACTTAAGAAATGAATCTACTATTGAATTTGTGATTGATTCGCTCTCTGCTTCAGTTTCCTGGCAAGCACTTTCAGCCACCTTTGTTTGAAATAATATAGAAACAAACTTATCTAGCTGTTGATTTAGGAAGGATGAACTTTGATTTACTAAATAGATTTATCGTTGTTGGACAAAAGCATTAGCAAAATCAGTGAAATGTCATATAACTTAAAGTTGACTTAATCGTTTCTCAGGCCACCTGCTAATTGATTTGTTGTTTCTGTACTAATAATATGTATTCTTCTCTATTTGTCGAAATGTCTCTGCTTAACATTCATGAAAGAATGGTTAATTGTAATTAACCTCTATGGGGGTTTGTTCGTCTCCTGATCTGTTAAGCCATAACCTGACACAAAGACAAATTTGATTCTGTGAGATAATTAAAGTTTTCTGTCGACTTCACAGACACGGAATGTGGAAACAATTGGAAACACAAATTCTGATGGGCTCTGGTTGTGGAAAATGGACATGCTTGGATCGGTGTGCTCTGCTGTCAGTCACACATGGATGTGCTGTTATTGGCCTGAGTGACGGTGTGAGAATCTGGTTTGTTCATCGGGGGTGAGAGGTCAGAGGTCAGGCTCAGGGGAGCCATGAGCATCAGGTGACCCTGAACGATCCTGAGATAGGACACCCTCTCCTCCCTGAGGAGGAGAATTCCATCACCGCTGGGGTGTGTGCATGTGCATGAGTGTGTTTGAGAGCAGGCATGCCATGCTCTTATACAATAATACAAACAGCAACAAGCAGTGTTTTAAGACACAGGATTGTCAGGTGACACAAACTGATCGGTTTATGTTGTACAGCTGCAAAAAATGGTCTTGATCCCTTATTGAAACTTTGTCATGAAATGTAGCATCAATGAACACTGTCCCCCAATCATTTTGATGACCCCTTGACCTTTCCTCTGTTGCCCTTGCCACGAGTCAAAATGGTCCCTTTACTCAAGGAATTTGAAAACATTATGACAGGATTGCCATTAAGTATGATGAACATATTCCTGCTCCCCAGAGGATAAATGTTTCCTGTTTTGGACACTCCAAAAACTTTACACCAACATGTCAAATGTAAAATTTGTGCAGCATTTCTTATGATTTCCTTTGGCTCCTGTCTGGTCCAGTTTCAGATCAGAGTTTTCCTTTAGACCAGCACCTGTATTTCAAAAACCAATAACCAGGTTTGCATTAAATCTATTGTGAATGTTCATGCTGTCACAGAATTTATTGCTGTATTTTGGTGACACTTCCTCTACCACCACTACAGTATATGGCCAAAAATATCTACTTAAAACTAGATGAATCAATAGGAGTCTTTTTATTTTGTCACATCCTTTTGTTTTGGTTGATGTAATGAACACTGAAACCCACAGGGGCCACTCCTGGGGAGTTTGCTTTTTACTGTCTTTCTCTTCTTGTGTGTGTCTGCAAATCGCACATCTATGAGTACTATTGCAGAGGGAACGCAGGATCTGCTTAATGTGCAGAGTGAGACAGCCGGCTTCTGCTCTGTCCAACTTCACCACATAAAACATCCTGATGTGGCTGGAAGGAACACATAGACCCAGAAAACACACATGCTGCATTCAGTACAAATCCAAGTAGAGCACATAAACTGTGCTTATGTGCTCCTCAGAGAGCAAGACAGGCAAAGTGTTTAAGTCACCTCAGGAGAGGGAGAGGAGGCCAACTTTCCCTGTTCCTGCTGTTTGGGTTGCAGCTCCGCTCTGCTGTAGAGGATCTATGGTTGTGTGTGGCTGGATACACTGCTGCCCGGCTGGTTGCACACATGTCACTGCACTGGATAGTCTTTACAGTATGTGGAAACAGAACTAGTGCTGAAAAGTGGCTAAAACTTCTTTCTGCAAGTAGTTTTTCTTATAACAGAAAAGGTAGAAGGTGTCGCTTCACTTTAAGCTGTTGATGTTCACACAAACTTCTGTAGCACCCGTTTTTATCTCTTTTCAGCATCTAATCAGCTGAAATAAGACGGTTCTTCTTTTACAATTTCTCCTCAGTAATTTAACCTGATCCACTGATTTTGCACAGAAATGTCAGCATCTTAATGTCAGCCCATTTTTTGCACTAAGGAGTTGCCAGTGTCAGTTACTAAGATAACAAGAAGCTGTAGTTGTCTCACAAAATGCAGTGGGACTGACACGTTGACAGGAAGTGTAATGTTTGCCTTGCATGCACTGCATGAGTTCAACTGCAGACTGTACTGTAGCGCTGAGTAGAAAGGATGAGAAGTAAAGTATTTTTTATTTGCAGTTATGTTTTATGATCCAGTAGGTTCTTGGTTGAGATAATGGCAAAACATTGTAAATTAGAACTGAGGTCAATAAGCAGAATCAGAGTCAATAAAATCTCACTCGTGCCCAACCTTATACAACACTTAAAATGTAAACAAGTCTGATTTTGTCCTGACATGCTTCTGAAATGGCCATACATTTAAATTTAGCCTTCCCAGTCCTATCTCTGTCCTCCTCTCTGATTTTATTTGTCTTCGCCTATGCAGATGTTAGTGTCGGTCTGTCCCCGGCGAGTCTCTTCTCATCAGGCTGGATGTGCCAGGGGTCAGCAGCTCTGACCTGCTGGCTCTGGTTCACCATAAATATTGTGGAACCACGCACAGACGCCCTCGCTTGCTGTTTAATATAGTGTGGGGTCCATTAAGGGACTGAGACTATCAGCTTTCACTGGCATATATGGCTTAATAACAATACTGCCTACATTGTGTAGTTAGAAGCAGTGACACAAGTCAGAACTGGGTGCTGTTGTACTTTATGTGTGGAAATTCTTCATCTCCATGACTTCACAATCAACTTTTCATCTGTGTTTTGGTTTCATATTGGTTTTCTGTGAATCTTTTTTGCATGCATATGTGCATGTGTGTTCATGGCCACGTGTGCGTTTTTGTGTGTGCCAGCAGCACACTGGGCTTCTGGGAGTGCTCTGTCCTCGTTTCCCACGATATGCATCCCATGAGCTCTCGCAGTGACGTCAGGACAGAGGTACAGGCGAATGTCTCATTCAGAGGTCACAGGTTCACTTCCTGTCTGTCAGGAACGAGTTGGGCAGCGTCCAGTGTGGAGCGCCGGACTGTCTTTGTGATGTCCCAGTGGTTTACCCTCTCTGTCTCTGTCTCTTTCAGGCCATGTGGCTGATGCTGCAACAGGAGGAGCCTGAGGATTTTGTCATAGCGACTGGGGAGGTGCACAGCGTGAGGGAGTTTGTGGAGAAGGCCTTCAATCATGTGGGCAAAACCATAGTGTGAGTGCACACACACAAGCCCCTGTCAGACATGCATCTCCATGAATCTTCTGTTCACTTTCTGTGGTGGTCTCATGTTTGAAGGTAAAAGTCATGCACCAGTCTTACTACAGTAGATTCAGCCGAGTAGCAGCCAGTTCCTGCATGGCTCAAGTCTGCATTCACTGACATAAATGTTTTTTTAAGGGCACTTAAATGTCTATTAACTATCATTTCATTTGTATCATTTGTATCATTAACATCAGTCTAATAAAACATACAGTAGCATTTTACAGACTTTACATTTATATTAAATGTGAAGACATTCCTCTAACAGTAGAAGAGACTAAAGTTACATTATTAGTGAGGATTTTATTTCTTAGCAGTCAGGGGCAAAAGCATTACAAACCACATTAACCATCTTTAGATCAAATCCACCTAAGTTTAAACTTTTATCCATGTCACATTTTACATGTGTTCCTTGGCAGAACAGAAGCTGCTCTTCTTCCTTGGTATTAATTTCACACGCAGTGTCAGAAAATGAACATATAATTGGGAAGGTCATTCGAACACTTCTGTCACTCATTCACATCTCATACTACATGTCTTCTGCCTCACCTCTAATTCACCTCCTGTGTCCCGGAGGATGCTGACATGTTGCTGAAGGTGTCTGTGGATGGTTGCAATGTTTGTTGTATTGGTTTTATAACAAAGGCAGGTGATATGTTTTGTCTGTGTGCTAGTTAAAGAAACAAACTATAGAAGAAATAATCGGTGAGACTTAGGAATGGGCAGCTGAGCCTTTGAACAACTGTGGGAACATTTTGTCTTCCAGCTAAAATTTGTGAATTTTCAGGTGGGAGGGGAAAGATGAGAAGGAGGTTGGCCGCTGCCAGGAGACAGGGGTGGTACATGTGAAGGTGGACCAAAAATACTTCCGTCCGACTGAAGTGGTAAGTCAGGCTTCTCCCTGTGTTTGTGTGGAAGCATGAAGAACTGCTTAATGAAACAATATTTATTTTAGGCTTGGCCTTACGCATGCCAGTGTTTTGCTGACTTTGAAGGATGTAGTGTGTGTCTATATTAGCTACCACATTATCTACTACATTGCCATTAACTATCACTGGCTTCATAGCTAGGATAAAAAGGACCAAAATGTATTTAAGGGTAACATAACAAACACAGCAGACCATAATACAACTGAGACAGACAAGCTGTCCTAAGCTATAAAATAGTAGGGTGCCCTGGTGACTTAAGATATATATA